ATATAATAAGTAGTTAGTCTATATTAGGTTTCGGTGTCAGGATAAATGTCAGCGATCATATTAAGATGGTCTCATCTCCTCTGTGCCTCTTTGAATATTGCCAAAGGATCTTTTATATTCACCCAAAAGAGGGCACCTCCAACAGCTTGTTGGTGCTGTCTGTTGTATGGATGCAGCAGAAAAATAGCAAAAAGGTTGAAAAATAACCATTTTAGAATCTTAAGGATGTGCCAAAGCTCTATGCAACTGATTAAGTATTTTCAGAGTGTGGCCACTGCTGTGATGTATGAAAAATGTCACCAAATTGCATTCAGATATGTTAGACAGGTAACAGTAAGATGGCCAAACAGTTAATTGCTTCTTCTCTAAATGGCATTGTTGAGAGGAAAACAATGATCCAGATGGCAGGCTAATACCCCTCACTATTCATTAAATAGTATTTTTATATCCACTGTAGAAGGTAATTAATTCCTCAACTTAACTCAAAACAGAAGCAAGTTACTGTGATGGTGAAAAACTAAACTAAAATCAGAAAATGCTGTAAGCATCAGTGAGACAGGCAACACAATCTTTTCTAACAAACCTGTTCAGAGATATTATTACACACCACTAGAGGAGGTGAGACTTGAACCCAGGCTTCCTAGCTCAGAGGTAGGGGCACTACCACTGCACAACTAGAGTCCTTAGATAGGCAGCACTGACGATGGAAGCTCATCAGCCTGAAAATTTGTCTTAACTTACCCACACTATCTGAAAGCCATAACCTCCAACATTGGAGCTGTCCCTGGAGTATGAAGCCAGATTGTGTGGTGGAGTGGGACATAAACTGCTGACTCGTTGTGGCAGTGGGTGAGCTGAGTGAAGGCTGGCAGCTTGCCTCCCAGTACTTGTGCACTCAGACAGCCAACCTACAGCAGGGAGAGCAAGCTGAGATGTGCACTTACACTGAGACTGAGGCACCAGATCAAATATTCCTCAGATTTGAGAACTCCATTAGGCTTAATGCATCTGTCAGTTCTTCATTTAAGTCTCAATCACTGGAGTGAACTTTGATCAATGTAAAAATTCATTTCACTGATCTGTTGCCCTGGTGAATCCTGTTGTATAAGTGATGGTCTGGATATAATAGCTAGTGAGTTATTGCTGTTCAACAGACAGAGAGACAGAGGGATGAGGTTATTAATTAATGGAGGGCAGGGGTCAAGTTATCCATTTGTTAAGTGTTACATGAATAATACAGAATTTACAATAAAATTTAACTTGCCCCATGCAGCATGTTCCACTCAATATAATTGCAACAGTATTAGCATTTATAAAGTATCTTCCATGCCAGGTATGCAGACTGAAGAAGACAAAAATTCAAAGTGGAAATTACAGAAAGCACAATAAATTTACATGTCTTTATGTGCATATCATGTTCAACTCTGAGGAGCCTCAATACATATTCATTTCTCTAATTTACAATGTACATTCTGTGCAAGGCATGCAGTCACCTTGGGATATAACAGCTTGTCTCTGCAAGTGAATTAAAACTGCCAGATATCACCAACTTGTGCTCATGTGGGACTCATTCCCACTTCAATTTCAATATAATTGTTCTTGTCATATTCAAAAGATCAAACCATCAAGCTGGGCTTGAGATGGAAACTCCACAACCAAATAAGGCAAAGATAACACAGCGTGGAGCTGGAGGAACACAGCAGGTCAGGCTGCTGAGCATCAGAGGAGCAGGAAAGTTGACGTTTCAGGTCGGGACCCTTCTTCAGAAATCTCTCTGACTATCTCTCTGACTCCAGCATCGGCGGTTCTTACTATTTGTGAGTGAGTTATAACCCCACTGCGAAGCCTCTTCTAGGGATGCTCACCTTGAAGAAATTATCCCCATTTCTGAAGAAGGGTCCTGACCCGAAAAGTCAGCTTTCCTGCTCCTCTGAAGCTGCCTGAACTGCTGTTGTTCCTTCAGCTCCACACTGTGTTATCTCTAACTCCAGCATTGGCAGTTCTTAGTATCTCCAAATAAGGCAAACACTGCAGATGCTGGAAATCCGAAACGAGCATAGAGAATGCTGGAGAAACTCAGCAGGTCTGGCAACATCTGTGGAGAGAGAAGAGAGTTAACGCATCAAGTCTGGTATGCTTTCCATAAAATCACACTGGACTCGAAACATTAACTCTGTTTCTCTCTCCACAGATGGTGCCAGACCTGCTGAGTTTCTCCAGCATTCTCTGTTCCACAGCCAATTACATTTTTTTTAAAGCAGACTTCTGTAAGTGGAAATTTGATTTGCATTCTGCAAGCTCCCAATGATATAAAAGACTCATTAATCAGTTTTGGGTGGCAATGATTGAGGGATAAATACTGGCCAAGGCAATGGGAGAATTCCTCTCATTTCCCTGAAAGTTCAGAATGTTACAGAAAAGGAAAATAGTTAATTTTTTAACAAAATATTCAATAAAAATGTCTTTTCACAGGGTGTGGAAGTAAAGATAAATCAAGTGGAAAACAAATGAAAATAAAATCAATGTCTCAGGATCTTTTATGGTTTAATATACAGTCAGAAAGTCATACATCACAGAAACAGACCCTTCACTCCAACTTATCCATGCCGACCGGACATCCCAATCTGACCTAATCCAATTCGCCAGCATTTGGCCGATATCCCTCTAAACCTTTCCTATTCATATACCCATCCAGATGCTTTTTAAATGTTGTAATTGTACCAGCGTCAACCACTTCCTCTGGCAGTTCATTCCATACACGCACCACCCTCTGCGTGAAAAAGTTGCCCCTTAGATCCCTTTTAAATCTTTCCCCTCTCACTGTAAACCTATGCCCTCTAGTTTTGGACTCCCCTACTGTAAGAAAAAGACTTTGGTTAATCACCCAGTCCATGCCCCTCATGACTTTATAAACCTCGATGAAAGGGTATAATCTCCAACAGTGCAGCATACTCTCAGTACTGCTCTGAAGTGTCAGCAACTTGTCTGCATATATCATATCTTTAACATAATAAAATACTCCAAGGCACTTCACAGCAGCATTGCAACTCAAAAATTTGACATCCGGCCACATTGTGATGTCAGGACAGGTGACCAAAATCTAGGTCAAAGAAGCAGGTTTTAAGGCAAGGCCGGGTCTAAAATGAAGGAAATGATGTAGAGAGACAATGAGGTTTAACAGAGGATCTCTAGATCTCAGGGCCAAGGCAGCTGGAAGGACTAAAATCAAGGATGCTGAAGAGGCCAGAATTAGAGAGTTACAGGGCAGCATGGTGGCTCAGTGGTTAGCACTGCTACTTCACAGTGCTGGGACCTGGGTTCAATTCCAGTGTTAGGCAACTGTGTGGACTTTGCACATTCTTCCTGTGTCTGTGTGGATTTCCTCCCAAAGTACAAACATGTGCAGGTTGGGTGAATTGGCCATGCTAAATTGCCCTGTTGTGTCCAGAAATGTGCAGGCTAGGTGGGTTAGCAATAGGAAATGCAGGGCTGCAAGAATTGGGTGGGATGCTCTTTTGAGGGTCGATGGGCTGAATGGCCTACTTCCACACTGTTGGGATTCTAGAGAAGTGCAAGTAACTTGCAGGATCATAGTCTGGAGGAGATTGTGGAAACAGGGAAGAGGAAGGACATGGAGAGATTTGAAAACAAGAATGAGAATTTTAAAATTGAAACATTACTCGGAGCCAACTATGCATCGTCCTTGTGATTTAGAAGTGAGAGAGCTGAGGTCAAGTTAACACTTGTTTGGAGATTCAAGATCTGCAGTGATCCGTATATCATATAACTCATTAAGTGTGATGTTAATGAGTTTGAAATTGGTAAGTGATGTCTCTCCCGCATGAGGTTTTTTAAAGATTATTCATTCCCAACATTTGATCATTCACTGGCATGGCTGGCATTCAATACCCAACCGTCATTCATATTTCAGTTCAGTGACTTGGTAGGTGACATCAAAGGGAGTTTAAGGGCCAACCATGATGCTGTGGGGCTGAAGTCACATGTCGACCAGACTGGGTAAGGATGGGAGTTGAATCAATTGGGTTTTAATAATATTCTAACAGCTTCATGGATACATTTTGCTGGTAGCAGCTTTTCAATTTCCTGATGACGCTTTTAATCTAAATTCAATTTCACAAACTATTATGATGAGATTTGACTCTCATTCTACCAGATCAGTAACCTAGATCGTGACTACTAATCTGGTGATGTGACCACACTGTGTGCTGCCAGCTATTTATTACAGTATGTAAGGATTGTCGCCATTCAACTGCTCCAGCCTGGGCCTGGAAAAGGCATACGTCAAAAAAACTGGCTGCTGATGAAGAAGCAGTAATTCACAATCTCAGTCCCCTGGGCAACAATCCCTCCCCATTGAAATCTTGCCCCATCACAATCCCAGCTCATCATGATCCCAGTCCATCACAATCCTACCCTCCACCTCTACGTCACAATTCTAACTCCACTTCCCACTACTACCCAACCACAATCCCAATTTCCACCCTCACCTCACAATACCATCCACTCATCACAATCCCACCTCCTCAGCTCACAATCCCATTCCCCCACCTCCCAATCCCACCCGCCACCTCCCAATCCCACACCCCCCACCTCCCATTCCCACACCTCTACCTCATAATCCCATTTCCCCACCTCACAACCCCATCCCCCACCTCCCAATCCCACACCCCTACCTCACAATCTAATTCCCTCACCTCCCAATCCCACACACCCCACCTCCCAATCCCACACCCCTACCTCCCAATCCCACACCCCCCACCTCCCATTCCCACACCCCTACCTCATAACCCCATCCCCCAATTTCCAATACCACACCCCAACCTCACAATCCCAACCCCACATCCCAATCCCCACCTCCCAATCCCACGACGATTTCACAATCCAACCTCCTACTCCTCGATCCTACCTCATTGCCTTGTCTCATGAAGATAGTCTGTTTTCCCACACCAATGGGAAAATAAAAGGCCAGAATGAAGAAGTTAAGAAAAATATTTTTTATTAAACAAAATATCTCAATAGAAGATAAATTTTGCATTTTTACATGTTACAAAGAAAATGTTGTCACAACGGCATTTCTTTTGTACAGAGAAGAATACTTCACATCCATTTTTTCATAACCCCAGGAAGTTCCAAAGCCAATTCAATACACTTTTGTGAACAGTAGTCATTAATGGAAACAAAGTATATCTTGCATTTATAGTGTCTTTCACAGCCACCAGATATCCTAAACTTATATACAGGCAATAAAGTTTTTTTTTGGAATTGTAGTCACTGCTGCAGTGTAAGAAAGATGACAGCGAAATTCACAACATGATTGCACAAACAGCAATGAGATAAACAGTTAATTAAACAGACTTAGTGATTTTGTTTGAAGGACATACATTGACCAGGACAGCGGGGAAACTCCCTAGCATTCTCAAAGATAGTTTAATAGATTTTTTTCACATTCACGCAAGAGGATCAACACGGTTTTGGTTTAACAGCCCATCAGAAAGATGGCACTTTCAGTAGTGCAGTGCTCCTTCAGTACTGCACTGGGAGCTTGGGTTTTGTGCACAAGTTTCTGGAGTGGGGTTTGAACTCCAGCCTTTAGATTTAAGCGAGAGTGCTACCACTGAGCCATGGCTGAGATTGGGGCAATCCAAACTGATGGCCGGAAGGTGTCACTATTATAACAATACTGGACAAGGTGTGTTTCTGAGAGGGTTGGACAGGATAAGAAGCAGGAATAGGCCATATGACACAAAAACAGTTGGAGAAACTCAGCAGGTCTGTGGAGACAAAGCAGAGTCAATGTTTCAGGTCCACTGATCCTTTTTCAGAACTGGCTATCTGATCACTGAAGCTTTCTCTGCCATTCAATAAGATCATGTTGAACTCCAGTGTGAATGTCACTGCCCAGCAGTATCTCCATATTCCCCAATGTCCAAAATTTTACTGATCTCAGCACAATCTTCGAAGTCCCCTGGATAGAGAGTTCAATAATTCACAACTCTCGGAGTGAGAAACTTTCTCCTCATTTTAGGCCTCAGCAGTTAGCCTTCTTTCCCTGTAGTTAGGACACTGAGTACTATGCTCTGTAGACAGGCAAACAACCTCTCAGCATTTACGCATCAAAGCCTTAAAGAGCTTTGCTAGTTTTGGATTGGTCCGGTTGGGACTGCTTTCCATGGAGGAGACTTGAAAGTGCTATTCAAAATCAGAAGGAGCTTGGACAGAGTAGATCGGGAGAAACTGTTCCCATTGCATCGGAATGATCAAGAAGCAATGGGTGTGGATTTAAGGCCATAGGCAAAACATAAAATGCAGACATGAGAAAAACTTTTTAATGCAGTGAGTGGCTAGGACATGAGGACCCATTGTTTAGATATGGACCATATGCCTTTGCAAATAGAAGCAAGATACATGGTCTTATTGCAAAATTCAAATGGTAAAAGGATTTGAGAGAATGGATAAAGTGAATCTACTCTCTCTACTGAGGGAGTCCAGAACAAGGCAGGATAATCGTTATATTGAAATTCAGCCATTCAGGAGGAGAGCAGCAAAAGCGTTCTCTTCATCAAAGAGCTGTGGATAGTAAGTGTCATTGGGAACAGTTTGAGACTTGGATTTCTGTTAGGTATTAGGGTTTTGGGGGGACTTAGAGCAAAAGCAGGTAATGCACCTGAGCCGAGGTGCAGATTAAGCACACTTGAGTAGCGTGGCAGAATGGAATCTATAGGCAAATAGGCTTGTTCTTGTCCTTATAGAAATATACGATGCAGACAGTAATCAATAGATGAGCTCACTAAGTGTCTTAGGCAGGTTAAATGGGCCTGGTGGTTAATTCCACTGAATTAACAGCGGCGCAGTCAAAAACTTGGAATGTAATAAATGTGATGACACAAGATCATTCAACTCCAGATCTTGCAGGATTCCAATTCCAGCTGTGTTGATGGTTTGTTTAAAATTCCGAACCAGCTTTGTAAAAAAAAACTGGATCCTCTACAGTGGGATGACCTCTTTAAGCACTTGTTTGTAGACTCCTAGTCAACAATAACAACACAAGTTTTAAAACCATTTGCTTAGAGACTCGATTAGTAAGAGTATGCTGAGTGGTGTTCAGTGTTGTGCACACTGGGATTATGATAGGTGGCCCTGCTTATTCCACAGTAAATGAGTTGAAGTGAGACAATCTGTAATCCAAGTGCTTTTCAGGAACTTGGATCACCTACAAAGAACATTTATTACATATATTGCCTTCTACACATTCTCCTAAAATATCAGACCCTGTGGGTCGTGCTGGTTATTTGTGATGTAAACAATGTTATGATCATACACACACATCCCAGTCATTGAACCAGCACAAAGTGTGAACATCAACATGTTTCCAGTTGTGAGATGCTGCACAGTGGGTTAAATAAACCTGAAATCAGTGCAGCTCTGAGATTAAACACATGGCACCCACAGTTGTAACATTGCCAACAGTGGGAGACAATCTGCAGTATCTACCTCAGCCCTCTCCCTGCTGTGATGGGCCTTTCGCCCGTGTCTCTATCGTGGCGTTTAGTCCAGCCCTGGCCTGAGGCGAAGTCTCGTTTCGGAAACTGAGCAGTGGGTTGGCCGGTGCCTATATCTTGCCTTTCGTCTTCCTGTGGGCACTGATTGCAGCCCAGAGTCTGCACAGCATTCCACCCCTAACACAGAAAGACATCCTTTAGTGAGTATGGAGACAGAGCCTGTCCTATATAAATACACAGTGTTCCCTCTCTCCTGTATTTATGTATTGCTGTTTATAAGTACATACATATACATATTGGCCCAAAGCAGACCACTAATTGTTAGAGAGATATTAGGAACTGCCGATGCTGGAGAATCTGAGATAACACGGTGTAGAGCTGGATGAACTTGAGATAACACGGTGTAGAGCTGGATGAACCTGAGATAACACGGTGTAGAGCTGGATGAACCTGAGATAACACGGTGTAGAGCTGGATGAACCTGAGATAACACGGTGTAGAGCT